CTCCCGACTGCTGCTGCCGCCGTACCGCGCCTGTTGCGCAGGCGGCGGCGAGCTGGCGCAGCACGTACGGCAGGATCCCGCCGTGGCGGTAATAGTGCAGCTCCTCGGGCGTGTCGATGCGGGCGGTGGCGCTGAACTCGGTGGTCGAGCCGTTCCCCGCGGTCGCGCGCACGCGCACGTCGCTGCGCGGCGCCAGTCCGCCGGCGATGCCGGTTACCTCGAACGTCTCCTCGCCGCTCAGGCCCAGGCTGGCGGCGCTGTCACCGGTGCGGAACACCAGCGGCAGCACGCCCATGAACACGAGGTTGCTGCGGTGGATGCGCTCGAAGCTCTCGGCGATGACCGCCTTGACGCCCAGCAGCAGCGTGCCCTTGGCGGCCCAGTCGCGTGACGACCCGGACCCGTATTCCTTGCCGGCCAGCACCATGAGCGGCGTGCCTTCCGCCTGGTACCGCATGGCGGCGTCGTAGATGGACATCTGCTCGCCGGCGGGCAGATGCCGCGTCCAGCCGCCCTCCGTGCCCGGCGCCAGCCGGTTCCGCAGGCGGATGTTGGCGAAGGTGCCGCGCATCATCACCTCGTGGTTGCCGCGGCGGCTGCCGAACGAGTTGAAGTCCTTTTGCGGCGCAACCCCCTGCGCGATCAGGTAGCGGCCGGCCGGACCCTCCGGCGGGATGGCGCCCGCGGGCGAGATGTGGTCGGTCGTCACGCTGTCGCCCAACAGCGCCAGTACCCGCGCGCCGGCGATATCGCCGGGCGGCGACGGCTCCGGCTCGATGCTCTGGAAGAACGGCGGATGGCGCACGTACGTCGAGTCGTCCGTCCAGTCGAAACGATCCCCCACCGGCGCGAACAGGCCGCGCCAGCGCTCATCGCCGTCGAATACGCCGGCGTACTTGGCGGTGAACTGCTCCGTGTGCAGTGCGGCCGCCATGGCCCGCTGCACCTCGGCGGCGGACGGCCAGATGTCCTTCAGATACACGTCGGCGCCGTTCGCATCGCGCCGAGCGGCTCGCGCGTCAGGTCGACCGTCATCCGGCCGGCCAGTGCATACGCCACGACCAGCGGCGGCGAGGCAAGGTAGTTGGCGCGCACGAGCGGCTGTACGCGCCCCTCGAAGTTGCGGTTGCCGCTGAGTACGGACGTGACGACCAGGTCGTTGTCGCGCACCGCCGCGGCGACCTCGTCGGGCAGCGGGCCGCTGTTGCCGATGCAGGTGGTGCAGCCGTAACCGACCAGGCCGAAGCCGAGCTGCTCGAGCGGCTCCAGCAGGCCGGCGGCCCGCAGATACTCCGTCACCACGAGGGAGCCGGGCGCCAGGCTGGTCTTCACCCAGGGCTTGGGACGCAGCCCGAGCGCCTGCGCCCGCTGCGCCACGAGCCCGGCCGCGATCATGACACTCGGGTTGGAGGTGTTCGTGCAGCTGGTGATGGCGGCAATCACGACCGCGCCGTCCTCGACGCCCGCGCCGGAGCCGTTGCCAGACCCGCCGGCCGGGGCGTTGCGGCCCGCGGCCAGCTCGTCGAGCACCCCGGCGAACGCCGCCTTCGCGCTGTGCAGCGGCACGCGGTCCTGCGGGCGCTTGGGTCCGGCCAGGCTCGGTTCGACCGTCGCCAGGTCAAGCTCGATCGCGTCGGTGTAGAGCGGTTCCTCGGCCGCCGCGGCAAACAGCCCCTGCGCCCTGGCGTACGCCTCGACCAGCTCGACCTGCGCGCCGTCGCGGCCGGTCAGCCGGAGGTAGTCCAGTGTCATGTCGTCGATCGGGCAGATTGCCACCGTGGAGCCGTACTCGGGCGACATGTTCCCGAGTGTCGCCCGGTCGGCCACCGTCAGCGACGCCAGCCCGGGACCGCAGAACTCCACGAACTTGCCGACGACGCCGTACTGGCGGAGCTGCTCGGTGATGGTCAGCACCAGATCGGTAGCGGTCGTGCCGTCCGGCAGCGCGCCCACCAGCCGGAAGCCGATGACGTCCGGGATAAGCATCGAGATCGGCTGCCCGAGCATGGCCGCCTCCGCCTCGATGCCGCCCACGCCCCAGCCGACGACGCCGAGGCCGTTGACCATGGTGGTATGCGAGTCGGTCCCGACGAGCGTGTCGGGATAGGCGGTCGCGTCGCCGTTTGCCCCGTCCCGGCAGACCACCCGCGCCAGATACTCGATGTTCACCTGATGGACGATGCCGGTACCCGGCGGCACGACGCGGAAGTTGCGGAACGCCTCCTGGCCCCACTTCAGGAACGCGTAGCGCTCGCGGTTGCGGGAGAATTCAAGCTTCGCGTTCAGGTCGAACGCGTCCGGCCGGGCGAAGTAGTCGACCTGCACCGAGTGATCGATGACCAGCTCGGCCGGCTGCGCAGGGTTCACCGCCTCGGGGTCCCCGCCCAGGCGCGCGATGCCGTCGCGCATGGCGGCCAGATCCACGACGGCCGGCACGCCGGTGAAGTCCTGCAGGAGCACGCGCGCCGGCATGAAGGCGATCTCGGTGTGCGTGCCGGGCGTCCAGCGGGCGAGCGTCTCGATGTCGCGCGCCGTGACGAAGCGGCCGTCCTCCCGCCGCAGCATGTTCTCCAGCAGAATCTTGAGGGAGTACGGCAGCCGCGCCACGCCGGGATAGCCGGCCGCCTCCAGCGCCGGCAGACTGTAGTAGCGCACCGGACCGCCGCCGGTGCTCAGTATCCGCGCCGTGTCGAAAGAGTGGTAGTGGTCATGGTCGTCATCTGCACTTGGGCTGCGCCCCAAACCCCCGGCAAGCGCTAGCGGGGACGGCTTCATCACCTCGGGGCTGCGCCCCAAACCCCCGGCAAGCGCTAGCGGGGACTGCTTCATCACCTCGGGGCTGCGCCCCAAACCCCCGGCAAGCGCTAGCGGGGACCCCTTTGCCCCGCGCCGCGCTTGCCGAGGCCCGCCGTGCGGGCCTGGGAACGACTGCGGTAGTGCTCGTCGTCCCCCTTCCTAAACTGTGACATTCCTGCCTCGTCAGCCGGGCGCCTCCCCGGTCTCGGCACGACGCGGGATGTCACCACGGACTGGTAGAATGGCATTCTTTCGAACTGCCAATGATCGATCACGACCGCTCCGGGACGCAAGCGCCGCGGCTGGGTGCCCACATGTCGATCGGCGGCGGCCTGCCGCGCGCCATCGACCGCGCCGCGGCAACCGGCTGCGAGTCGCTGCAGATCTTCACGAAATCATCGAACCAATGGCGGGCGCGGGCGATCCCGGAGGCGGAGGTCGCCGCGTTTCGCGCGCGGGCGGCGGAGACGGGATCGGACCGATCGTCGCGCACACCAGCTACCTGATCAACCTCGCCGCGGCCAATCCGGCGCTGCGCGCGCGTTCGGTCTCGGCGCTTGCGGAGGAGCGCGCCGGGCCGACCTGCTCGGCCTGCTCGGCGTGGTCTCCATCCGGGCGCGTACACGACCGGTACGGAAGGGACGGTATCCGCTACATCGCCGACGGCATCGCCGAGGCGCAGTCGCGCCAGACGGGCGGCAGCCTGCTGCTGCTGGAGCACACCGCGGGCCAGGGCACCATGCTCGGCTGCCGCTTCGAGCAACTCCGGGCGATGATCGACCGGCTGGACGATCCTTCACAGGTGGCCATCTGCCTCGACACCTGCCACCTGCTGGCGGCCGGCTACGACATCGTTTCGGAAGCGGGTTCTACGCGCAGGTATTCGAGGAATTCGACGCGATCCTCGGGCTCGACCTGCTGAAAGTATTCCATCTGAACGACTCGAAGAAGCCACTCGGCAGCCGCGTCGACCGGCACGACGGGATCGGCCGGGGCTGCATCGGCGTCGAGCCGTTCCGGCGCCTGCTGCAGGACGCGCGCTTCCGGCATCTGCCGATGGTGCTCGAAACGCCGAAGGCGAACGGCGGCGGGGCCGACGAGATCGCCGCCGACGCACTGGACCTGGAGAACCTGGCGATACTCAAGCGGTTCCGCGATGAGGTTTGATATGCGCATGCTCCTTGTCGGCGCCCTGCTCGCGACGCTGCTCCCGGCCCTGGCCTGGAGCGGCCAGGGCGGGGGTGGACAGCCGGACTACGTCACCGCGGTGGAAGCCTGGCGGGCGGAGCGCGAGACCCGGCTCACGGCGGACGACGGCTGGCTGACGGTGGCCGGCCTGTTCTTCCTCCGGGAGGGCGAGAACAGCTTCGGCGGCGATCCGCTGCACGACATCGTCCTGCCGGCGGGACCAGCCGGGTGCGGGCGTGTTCGTGCTCCGGGACGGCAAGGTGACGCTGCGCGCCGCGCCCGGGCGAACCGTGACGGTTGGCGGAGAGGCAGTGACGGCCGCGGAGCTCTGGCCGTACGAGGGCGAACGTCCGGCGGCGACGCTCGGCCAGCTGACACTGTTCGTCCATTTCAGCGGCGAGCGGCTGGCCATCCGCATGCTGGATCGGAACAACGCCATCCTGCGGGACTTCAGCGGCCTCGACTGGTATCCGGTCGACGAGGCGTACCGCGTCCGCGCCCGCTTCGTGCCGCACGACGAGCCGCGGGAGGTGCGGATTCAGAACATCCTGGGAGACGTCGAAACGCTCACCAGCAGCGGCACGGTGCGGCTGTCGATCCGCGGCGCGGAAGTCGAGATGCTGCCGGTCGACGCGGACGGCCAGCTCTGGTTCATCTTCCGCGATCAGACGAGCGGGACCGAGACGTACCCGGCGGCGCGCTTCCTGTACGCGGACGCCCCCGAGGACGGCTGGACGGAGGTCGACTTCAACAAGGCGTACAACCCGCCGTGCGCCTTCAATCCGCACACGACCTGCCCGCTGCCGCCGCGCGCGAACCGGCTGCCGCTGCGCGTCGAAGCGGGCGAGCGGGACTACCGTCCGGAGCATCGTTAGATGGGGCTGCGCGGCTTTTCCACCTCGGGGCTGCGCCCCGAACCCCCGGCGGCCGCTAGCGGGGACCCCTTTGCCCCGCGCCGGGCTTGCCGAGCCGCGCCGTGCGCGGCTTGGGGGCTATGCTCCCGTTCGTCAAAGCTAGCAGGCTAGGAGTGCGGCGGACGGACGGCGTAGAGATCGAGGATGCCGCCGGCGCGGCACGCTTCCAGGGGGCGGCGCACGGCAGCCGTCACCCACGCCGGACGCCCGGGCCGGCCGGCCACCGGCGTCTCCCAGCCGCTGACCTCGAACCCGGCCGCCTCGACGAGGCGCGCCAGCGTCCGCGGCGTGAAGAACCACAGATGGTGCAGCGCTCCGTAGTGCTTCCACCGCCGGCGTTTCAACCGCAGGCGGCTCTGCCAACTCTTGAGCGTGATGGTGAAGCCGGCCAGGTTGGGCACCCCTACGTGCAGCACGCCGCCCGGCTCCAGCACCGCCCGCGCTGCACGCAATTCCGCCAGCGGGTCCTGCGTGTGCTCGAGCACGTGGTTGAACCGGACGGCGTGATAGCGGCGCCCGCCGAAGGCGATTGACGGCAACTGCCCGGCCCACAGGCGGGCGCCCGTGGCGACCGCGGACGGCGTTACGACGACATCGGTCCCGTCCACTTCCCAGCCGCGCGCTCGGGCGAACCTGAGAAACGCGCCGCTGCCGCAGCCTATGTCGAGCAGGCGCCGGCCGGCGCCTGCCGGACGTTCCAGCCAGCGCATCTGCCGCTCGAACTGGTAGCGCCGCACGTAGTCGACGACGTGCTCCCCCGGCGGGTGGTAGACCGGGCCGTAGACGGCGTGGAGCAGATCGTCGAACACCGGCCGCGGACTCTGGAACTGCAGTCCGCACGCGCACAGCGCGCCAGCTGCAACCCCTGAAAGTCGACCCCGAACGGCCGCGGCGCGACGCGGCACAGCGGGCAGGCAACCGCCTCCCGCCGCGCGAGCGCCCGCTCGACGGCAGACCGCGGGCGGCCGAACAACGACGCCGGACCGGCCGGAGGCGCGCCCCCCCGATGCGGGAATCGCCACGGTGCGCCGATAATGCCCGATCGGCCCGGTCCGATCCAACCGGGGCTGGTAAACTCCTCCCGCATGTCGACCGTACTTACCGCGGCGGACGTCGAGCGCATCGCGGCGCTGGCGCATCTCGAGCTGACCGACGCGGAAGTAGCGCTGTTCACCACGCAGCTCACGCAAATCCTCGAATACGCGGAGCGCCTCAAGGAGGTGGACACCTCCGCCGTTTCAGCCACCTGGCATCCTGGCGCCGGCGCCCCGGACCTGCGCCCCGATACCGAGCGGCCGTCGCTGCCCCGGGAGGACGCGCTGGCGGGCGCGCCGGAGCGGGGACCCGAGGGCCTCTTCCGCGTTCCGAAAGTCATCGACTGATGGCGCCCGGCGCCTGGACCGTCACCGGGATCCGCGCGGCGGTCGCCGGCGGCGACCTTTCGGCGCGCGAGGTGTGCGCGCACTACCTCGACCGCATCGCCGCCACCGACGGGCGGCTGCACGCCTTCACCACCGTCCTGCGCGAGGCGGCGCTCGCGCGCGCCGATGAAGTGGACGCGCGGCGGGCGTCGTGGCGCGACCGGCCGCTGCTGGGCGTGCCGATCGCGGTCAAGGACGTCATCTGCACGCGCGGCGTGCCGACCACCGCCGGCTCGCGCATACTGGCCGGGTACCGCCCGCCGTACGACGCCACGGTGGTCAGCCGCCTGCTCGACGCCGGCGCGGTGATCGTCGGCAAGACGAACTGCGACGAGTTCGCCATGGGCTCCTCCACGGAGCATTCGGCGTATGGCCCGACGCGCAACCCGTGGGCGCTCGACCGGATTCCGGGCGGCTCGAGCGGCGGCGCCGCGGCTGCGGTGGCGGCGGGGCAGGCCCCGGCATCGATCGGCACCGATACCGGCGGGTCCATCCGCCAGCCGGCCGCGCTGTGCGGCGTCGTCGGCCTGAAGCCGACCTATGGCCGCGTGTCGCGCTACGGACTGCTCGCCTTCGCCTCGTCGCTCGATCAGATTGGACCGCTGACGTGGACCGTCGCGGATGCGGCCGCCGTGCTCCAGGTGCTGGCGGGGCCGGACCCGCGTGACGCCACCGCGTCGACGGAGCCGCCGCCCGACCTGTCGCGACTGTTTCCGGGCAACGTCAGGGGTACGCGCATCGGCGTCCCGCGGGTGGCGCTCGCGGACGGCGTGGACCCCGAGGTGCTGGACGCCTTCGGCGCGGCGCTGGCGATGCTGTCCGATCGCGGGGCCGAGGTATGCGACGTCGACCTGCCGCACATGCAGTACGCCGTGCCGGTGTACTACCTGGTGGCGCCGGCGGAGGCGAGCTCGAACCTCGCGCGCTACGACGGCGTGCGCTACGGGCACCGCGCCAAGCTCGACGGCGCCGCGGCCGGTGTCTCGGAGATGTACGCGCGGACGCGCAGCGAGGGGTTCGGGGCGGAAGTGAAGCGTCGCATCATGCTCGGCACCTACGCCCTCAGCGCCGGCTACTACGACGCGTACTACGTGCACGCGCAGCGTGTGCGCAGCCTGATCCGCAACGACTTCGATCGCGCCTTCGCCGCCGTGGACGCGGTCGCCATGCCCACCACGCCAACGCCCGCCTTCCGCATTGGCGAGCGCATCGACGACCCGCTCGCGATGTACCTGGGCGACGTGTTCACGGTGAGCGCGAACCTGACCGGGCTGCCTGCCATCAGCCTGCCGGCCGGATTGACGCAGGCGCGCCTGCCGATTGGATTCCAGCTGGTCGGGCGCCCGTTCGACGAGGCTACCCTGCTGCGGATCGGGGACGCGCTGGAGAGGGACGCTCCCTGGAGCGACGAACGCCCGCCGGCCTTCGCGTGAGCGGTAGGCGGCTACCGATTCCGGCCCGCCTGCTCCACCAGCTCGGGGGTGCGCAACTGGTCCGCGGGACCGCGCGGTGCGCTGGGCGGCAGATACGTGGCGCCGGTCCCGAGCCGCTCCGCGATGTTCCGCACGATGGCGGAACGCTGGGAGCGGCCGCGGTGCTTGGTGAAGCCGGCAATGACCAGGAATCCGATGAACAGCGCCAGCAGGAAACCTGTCGACACGGCCAGCCCCATCAGCGCGCCAATGGCGATGCGGGTTATTTCGGCAATATCCATCGGCGTCACGACTCGTCCGCTGCGGACTCCCGCGGCTTGGGCAGAGCGTAGGGGATCAGGCCCCTGTCCACTTCCTCCATCGCGATCCGCTCCAGCTTGGCAGCCGGAGTCGGCCGCTCGCCCGTCTCGGGATCGGGTGCGAGCGCGGCCAGCCGGGGCAACGCCCCGCGCCGGAGCTGCTTGGCGCGCCGCGAGGCGACGTCGACGTAGAGGAACCGGCTCTCACGCGTCAGCGGCGCCTGTTCCGGCCATTCCACTGACTCGACAGCTTCAACCGCAGGCTCCGGTACGGGAGCCTCCTGCGGCACAGAGATCTCTGCATTCACAACTCCTTAGTATAAACGAAAGGCACCCGCGAAGTCGATACGCAGTCCGGGCGCGGCATCGATACGGGCGGGTCTCGGTGCGGCGCCGGGCGCGTTAACACGAGCTGCCCGGCTGTGCCATGATGGGCGGACAGTCTGGAACGGCATGAAGATTCTCTTTATCGGCGACATCGTGGCGAAGCCCGGCCGTGAGATCATCCGCCGGGCGGTGCCGCTGCTCATCGAGCGCCACGGCATCGACCTTGCCGTCGCCAACGTCGAGAACGCGGCGGGCGGCCGCGGCGTCACACGCGAGGTAGCCGAAGCGATCCTCTCGGCGGGGATCGACGTGATGACGACCGGCAACCACGTCTGGGACAAGAAGGAGGCGCTCGAATACATCCGGATCGAGCCGCGGCTCGTCCGGCCCGCGAATTTTCCGGCTGGCGTCCCTGGCCGCGGCCGGTACATCACGCGTACCAAGCGCGGTGAGCCGGTGGCGGTGATCAACGTCATGGGGCGCGTCTTCATGAACCCGCTCGACAACCCGTTCAGCGTCGTCCGCGAGGAGATCGAGGCTGTGCGCAGCGTGGCGCGCGTCATCCTCGTCGACTTCCACGCCGAGGCGACGTCCGAGAAGCTGGCGATGGGCTGGCATCTCGACGGCAAGGTGACGGCGGTGGTCGGGACGCACACGCACGTGCAGACCGCGGACGAGCGCGTGCTCCCGGGCGGGACGGCCTACATCACCGACGTGGGCATGACCGGGGCGCACGATTCCGTCATCGGCGTCGAGGTCCGTCCGGTGCTGCAGCGCTTCCTGGACGGGCTGCCGGCCCGATTCGACACGGCCACACGAAATCCGCGCCTCAACGCGGTCGTCATCACGGCGGATGCCGCCACCGGCGCCGCCCGCAGTATCGAGCGCGTCAGCGTGTCGGCGCAGGACGTCGAGACATACGCCAGCGAGCAGGTGGCGACGTGACGCAGCGTCCCGCGCTGCCGTTCGACGATCCGGCGCCCGAGCCGCCCGCACGGCCCGCCCGGCGCGTGCTGACGGTGACGGAACTGACCGCCAGCGTCCGCGTGCTGCTCGAGTCGAAGTATGCCGAGGTCTGGATCGAAGGCGAAATCTCGAACGCGCGCGTCTGGAAGACGGGCCACCTGTACTTCACGCTCAAGGACGCCGGCGCGCAGCTGCGCGCCGTCATGTTTCGCTCGGCGCTGCGCTACCAGCGGTTCCGGCCGGAGGACGGCCAGCACGTCATCGCCCGCGGCCGGCTCAGCGTGTACGAGCCGAAGGGCGAGTACCAGATCGTGTGCGAGCATCTGGAGCCGCAGGGCGTGGGCGCCCTGCAGCTCGCCTTCGAGCAGCTCCGGCGGCGGCTCGATCACGAGGGGCTGTTCGACGCGGCGCGCAAGCGGCCGCTGCCGCCGCTGCCGCGCAAGATCGGCGTGGTGACGTCGCTCGACGGCGCCGCGCTCCGCGACATCATCAACGTGCTCAGCCGGCGCCATCCCAACGTCCACGTGGTCATCGGCCCGACGCGCGTCCAGGGCGAGCGGGCGGCGGAGGAAATCGTCCGTGCGCTGCGGCTGCTGTGCGCGCGCCTGGCGTCGACGTGGTCATCGTCGGCCGCGGCGGCGGCTCGATCGAAGACCTCTGGGCGTTCAACGAGGAGCCGGTGGCGCGCGCCATTGCCGGCGCACCGGTGCCGGTCATCTCGGCGTTGGGGCACGAGACGGACTTCACCATCAGCGATTTCGTCGCCGACCTGCGCGCGCCCACCCCCTCGGCAGCGGCGGAGCTGGTCGTGGCCGGCAAGGACGAGATCAGCGCGCGGATCCGGAATCTAGAGCAACGTCTGCGGGCGGCGGCGCGGGACGGCCTGCAGCGGCGGCGCTCGGCCGTGCACGGGCTCCAGACGCGGCCGGGTCTGGCCGGGTGGCCGACGCGGGTCGCGGTGCGCGGGCGGCAGGTCGGCGAGCTCACCTACCGGCTCACGCGTGCGGCGCGCGCTGGCGCGGCGCGCCGGGAACGGCGCCTCCACGAGCTGCGCCTGCGGCTGGAAGCGCTCGACCTTGGCCGCCGCATCGACGGCATTCGAGCGCGCCTGCGGGCGGCGCGCGCCGGCATGGCGGCCGCGCTCCGCGACGTCCAGCAGGCCCGGGAGGCCCGCCTGCGCGTTGCAGCCGGCCGTCTCGAGACGTTGAGCCCGCTCGGCGTGCTGGCCCGCGGCTACGCCGTCTGCTGGAACGCCGACCGCTCGTCGATCATCCGCGACGCGACGGCGGTCACGACCGGCGCGGAGGTACACGTTACCCTGCACAGCGGGGCGCTGGATTGCACGGTCACAAAGGTCGAATGATGGAAACGACGATCAAGGATTTCGAATCAGCGTTGGCGGAGCTGGAATCGATCGTGAAGAACCTGGAAAACGGCAGCCTCACGTTGGAGAAATCGCTGGCGCTGTTCGAGCGCGGCGTCGAGCTGTCGCGCTACTGCCACACGCGACTCGAAGACGCCGAGCGGCGGATCGAGGTGCTCAACGAACGCGGCGAGGCCCGGTGCGCCCCCCGCATCCCTCGACGTGGGGGACGCACCGGACGATCCTCCAGACGAGAGGCCGGGGTGAGCCGTCCCGACGAGCCGGCGGCGATCGGCGACCATTCCCTGGCCGCTTATCTCCAGACGCGGAGAGCCGCAGTCGAGACGGCGCTGGACCGGTATATGCCGGCGCCGCCCGACTGCCCGGAGCTGCTCGCCGGCGCGATGCGCTACAGCCTGCTGGCCGGCGGCAAGCGGCTGCGTCCCATCCTGACGCTGGCGACAGCGGAAACCATCGACCCGGACGGCGGCGCGGCGCGGGCGATGCCGGCCGCCTGCGCAATCGAGATGATCCACACCTACTCGCTCGTACACGACGACCTGCCGGCGATGGACGACGACACGTTGCGGCGCGGCCGGCCTACGGTGCACGTGGAGTACGGGCAGGCCATGGCTATCCTGGCCGGCGACGGGCTGCTGACCGAAGCGTTTCGCGTCCTGGCGCGGTGGCCGGCGACGGACGACCCGGCGGTAGTGGACCGCAAGCTGCGCACGGTAGAGCGGGTGGCGGCGGGTGCCGGCGCCAGCGGGATGGTGGGCGGCCAGGTGCTCGACATCCAGCCGGCCGACGCGTCGGCAGCCCGGCGGCAGCCGGCCGCGGCCATGGCCGCGCTGCGCGCGATGCACGAGCGGAAGACAGGTGCGCTCATCCGCGCCGCGGCGGCGGCCGGCGCGATCATGGCCGGCGCAGCCAGGGAAACGATCGCCGCGGTCGACGCCTATGCGGCGCATCTCGGCCTCGGGTTCCAGATTGTCGACGACATCCTGGACGTGGAGGGCGACGCGGCGGCGCTCGGCAAGACCGCCGGCAAGGACGCGGCCGCCGGCAAGGTCACCTATCCGTCCATCGTGGGGCTCGAACAGTCGCGCGTGCTGGCGGCGGGCGCCATTGCCGACGCGCAGCAGGCGCTGCGGGTGGGCGGGCTGGGCGGCGGACGTCTCGCGGAAATCGCCGATTGGGTGCTCGCCAGGACCTCCTAGCCGGCCGTACGACCCCGGCAGGTGGCGTACGAAAGGGGACGAAATGCATGAATGCGCCCGTCCCCAAGCCGCGCACCGCGCGGCTCGCCGGCCACGGAGTGGGGCAACGGGGTCCCCGCGAGTGGTCGGCGGGGGTTTGGGGCGCGCCGCCCAAGTAAATAATGCGCCGACGCGTGAGGCTGGATGCGCTCGTTGTGGATCGCGGACTCGCGCCGACGCGGGCGCGGGCGCGGGCGCTGGTGCTGGCCGGGCAGGTGCGAGTGGACGGGGCCGCCGTATCGAAGGCGGGCGCGGCGTGCCCGACGACGCCGATGTCACGCTGGCGGCGCCGGACCATCCGTACGTCGGCCGGGGCGGGATCAAGCTGGCGCACGCGCTCGACGCGCTCGGCGTAGTCGTGGCCGGCCGCACGGCCCTGGACGTCGGCGCGTCGACGGGCGGCTTCACCGACGTGTTGTTGCGACGCGGCGCGGCGCGGGTCGCGGCGCTCGATGTCGGCCGCGGCCAGCTCGCGTGGAAGCTGCGCCAGGACCCGCGCGTAACGGTCATCGAGGGCGTCAACGCCCGGGGACTCGACCCTGCATCCCTGCCGCCGGCATTCCATCCGGTGGATGTCGTCACGGTCGATGTCTCGTTCATCTCCCTGAGGCTGGTGCTGGCGCCGCTCCCACCGCTGCTCAGGCCCGACGGCGACGTCGTCGCGCTCGTCAAGCCGCAGTTCGAGGCCGGGCGCGCGGAAGTGGGCAGGCGCGGCGTGGTCACCGATGCCGCGGTGCACAGACGCGTCGTGGATGAGGTGCGGTCCGCGGCCGATCGGATAGGATTGAGGCCCGTTGCCGAGGCGCCGTCGCCAATCGCCGGCGCGGAGGGCAACCGGGAATTCTTCGTGCACCTGCGCAACGGCGCCCCCGGACCACGCTCATGACCGTGCCCCGGATGGAGGCGCCCGGCACCGTCGGCATCGTCGCCAAGACCCGCCTGCAGGAGGCCGCTCCCGTGGTGGCGGAAGCAGCCGACTGGCTCGCCGCCCGCGGCGTCGCGGTGGTCCTGGAGACCGACACGGCGCGGCTCGCAAACCGGCGGGGAGCACGGACGTGCGTCCGGGACGACCTGCCGGCCGCAACCGACCTGATAGTGGTGCTGGGCGGCGATGGAACACTGCTCGGCGTTGCCGGCCGCGTCGCGCAGGCGGGCGCCGACACGCCGATCCTCGCGGTGAATTTCGGCAGCCTCGGTTTCCTGACGGAGGTCACGCTGCCGGAGCTGTACACGGCGCTCGAGTCGGTGCTGGCCGGCGAGGCCGGATCGACGAGCGGCGGATGCTGCGGGCGCAGGTGGTCCGCGGCGGGCGCGCCGTCGCCGAACGGATCGTGCTCAATGACGTGGTGCTCACGAAGGCCGCCTTGTCGAACATCATCGACTTCTCGGTCACCAGCGGCGACCAGTTCGTGATGCGTTCCCGCGCGGACGGACTGATTTATCGCCAGCCCGACCGGCTCGACGGCGTACAACCTGGCCGCCGGTGGCCCGATCGTGCACCCGCGGGTGGATGCGGTGCTGGTCACCCCGCTCGCCCCCCACACGCTCACCAACCGGCCGATCGTCATCCCGGCGACACCCCCGATCGGCGTCACACCGGCGCTGGGAGGGACACACCAGGCGGCCAGCGCCAGCTTCGACGGCCAGTTCGGCATGGAGCTCGAAGCGGGTGACCGCGTCACCGTCCGGCGCGCGCCGCGCCCGCTGCGCGTCGTCCGCGCCGAGTCGCGCAGCTACTTTGCCGTGCTCCGCGAGAAGCTCAAGTGGAGCGAACGATAGCGGGTCGCGGCAGCCGTTAGTATCAACGCCTGCTGATCGGCGGGTGGTGGATGATCTGGACGCGGTTGCCGTCCGGGTCATCGAGGTAGAAGGAGCGCGCCCCGTCGCGGTGAGTGCGCGGCTCGCCGTGCAGCGCGACACCCTGCTCCCGCAGGAACGCGGCCCAGGCATCGACATCCCGCGCCTCGCGCACGAGGATCCCCAGGTGGTCGAGCGCCGTCTCGCGCGTCCCGGCGCCGGCCGGTGCCCGGTGCAGCGCGAGGTTGTCCATGCCCGACGTCAGGTAGACGTTGTCGGCGTCCGGCTCCCACTCGACGCGGAACCCGAGCAGGTCCACGTAGAAGCGCCGCGTCGCCTCGAACGCCCGCGCGTGCAGCGCAACGTGACGAAGTCCGAGGTGTGGTGGCCGGCCCGACACCGGTTCATGGTAGCATCGCCCGCATGTCATCCCGGTCCGTGGCGCAGGTGCGTTGCGCGCTGTGCGGCGCCAAGGAAGTCTCGGAGCCGCGCGGCGAGGAGAAGTACTGCAGCGACTGCTGGGACAAGAAGATCGCCGTCGAGGAGATCGTCGCGCGCGAGTTCGCGGTGAAGCGCTACATCCGCGCGCACAGCTCCGAAAAATACCTCGTTTACCATGCAACGCAGAAGCGGCCCTGCGGGCAGCTGATTGTGCTGGACGACGGCTACGATCTGTTTCTGAGCCTGATCCTGTACCCTACGTTCGCGTGGGACGAGCCTGCGTACCATCTCGATGGAGACCCGGAGGGGCGCTCGTTCGCCGAGCTGGTCGTCGACGTCGTCGCGGCGGAGGTGATCGAGCCTTGGGGGGGCGGCAAGTGGCATCTTGACATCTTCCGGTCGGTGAGCCCGGAGCCGGAGGAATGGAACGGCGAGCTCTAGGCAAAAACCCCCGTTGAGCTTGCGGGCCATCAGGACCTATAATTCCCGTTCGTGCGGTTCCAGTTTGGAGGAATTTCAATGACACGACCCGGCCGTGTTTTGCTGTTTGGTTTTCTGGCATGCGTCCTGACTGCCGCCGCTTGCGGCGGCTCCGCTCCGGCCGAGGAAGAGATGGTGGTCGACGCGGGGCCGGCTCCGCCGAGCGCCGCAGCCGTCGCCGCCGCCAACCGGCTGTCCTCCCAGCTCGGAGATGACGTCCGCCTCGTGCGGACCGTGCGCGGACTGGCCGAGATCGGCTACGAGCAGCCGACCGCGCGCCGGGACGGCAACTTCATCGTCACGCGTTTCCGGGTGAAGAACCTGGCGGAGAACGCCATTGCCGGCCTGCAGGTCGACGAGTTCTGGTTCGACTCCGACGGGAATACCGTGACGGGCGATTCGGTCCGCTTCCGCGAGCCGGTACTGACGGGTCAGGTGGTCGAGATCGAGCTGCGCGTGCCGCGCAATACGGACATGGATCGCAGCAACTACGAGTTCAGCCACCAGAACGGCGAGATCAAGGCGACGCTGTTCGAATCCATCGAGGATCCGGAAGAAGAGGAACCGGGCAACGGCGATCAGCCGTAACCACGCAGGCTTCCTTCACTGCCCCGCCGCCCGGCTCGGCCGGGCCGGGGCCTCTCACGTGAACCCGGCCGGCCACCGGTTGCTGCGTTTCTCCGCACCGCTTGAGACACCGCCCAAACCATTCCACGCCCCCTGGCGTCCAACTTATGAGAGCGGTTGCCACCCCGTGGGCCGCTATACTGCGAATCATGCCCATTGACGTCGGCGCGGTTCAGGATGCGTTGCGCGAGGAAGGGCTGGACGGCTGGCTGCTGTACGACTTCCACGGCTCGAATCCGATAGCGCAGGCGGTGGCCGGCGTGGGTGCGGGAGGCCTGACGACCCGCCGCTGGTACTACCTGATTCCAGCCGCGGGCGAGCCGCAGGCGCTGGTACACCGCATTGAGCCGAACGTGCTGGATCATCTCCCGGGCAACCGGCGGGTCTACGCCGGTCGTGAGCAACTGGAGGCAGGTCTGGCTGCGATGATCCTCGAAGGGCGGCGGCTGGCGATGGAGTACTCGCCCGGCGGCGCAATCCCGTACGTGTCCCGCGTCGACGCGGGCACCGTGGATGCAGTCAGGCAGCTGGGCGCGACTGTCGTGTCTTCCGGCGATCTGGTGCAGCGCTTCGAAGCCGTGTGGGACGAGCAGGCAACCGCCACGCATCGCGACGCGTCCGCGGCCCTCTACCGCATAAAGGATCGTGCGTTCGACCTGATCGCGGAACGGATGGGAGCGGGCGTCCCGGTCGGCGAATTCGAGGTCCAGCAGGCGATGTGCGGCTGGTTCGAGGAGGAGGGGCTGGTCAGCGACTCGGCCCCGGTCGTGGCCGCCCAGCAAAACAGCGGCAACCCCCACTACCTGCCGACCGCGGGCAACTCGCGCGACATCGGCCGCGAAGAAGTGGTGCTGCTGGACCTGTGGGGCAAGCGGGATGCGGCCGGCGCCGTGTTTGCCGACATCACGTGGGTCGGCTACACGGGGTCGTCCGTGCCGGAGCGCTACGCGTCGGTGTTCGGTGTGGCGCGCGACGCCCGCGACGCGGCGGTTGCGCTGGTAGCCGACGCGGCGCGCGGCGGCCGCGAGCTGCGCGGCTGGGAGGTCGACCGCGCGGCCCGCGCGGTGATCGAAGGCGCCGGATTCGGCCGGCAGTTCGTCCATCGCACCGGGCACAGCCTCGGCGAGGCGGTGCATGGCAACGGCGTGCACATGGACGACTACGAGACACACGACGACCGCCGGCTGCTGCCCGGCACCGGCTTCACCATCGAGCCGGGCATCTATTTCGACCAGTTCGGGGTCAGGACGGAAATCAACATGCACGTCGGCCGGCACGCGGCCGAGGTGACGGGTCCGCTGCAGAAGGAACTGGTCACGCTCTGCTGATGCGGCGGCCGGCCGGCTGGCGCCGGACCCGCTGTGTAGCTATCGCGCGGCAGTTGCAGTAACGTAACGGAGTTATCTTGCGGGAGGATACGATGTCGAAACGACTGGCGACGCTCGGTTCCGCGGCCCTGATTGCGGTGACGTCCATGGCGATCGGAATCATCATCGCGTCGCGGTTCGATATGGCGCCGGCTTCATCGGCGCAGACGCAGACGTTCACGGCGCCGCCGATGAACAGCGAGCCGCTCAGCGGGCCGATCGACGCCGGCACGTTCCGCGAGATTGCCCGGACCCAGGCGAGCATGGTCGTCAACATCCGCACCGAATCGCTGCGCGCCGGCGGCGGTCCCAACGATTTCTTCGGCGGCAACGACCAGTTCCGGCGGTTCTTCGGGGTGCCGGGTCCCGATCAGGAGCAGCAGGAAGAAGAGACCGTCCCGGGCATGGGCACCGGTTTCGTGATCGACGACTCCGGGCTGATCCTGACGAACAACCACGTGGTGGCCGAAGCAACAAAAATCGAAATCGATTTCTTCGGCGACGAGGACGGCACGTACTACGAGGCCCGCGTGCTCGGCCGGGATCCGCTGACCGACAGCGCCCTGCTGGAACTGACCGAACGGCCGGACGGACAGTTGTCGGTGGCGCAGTTCGGCGATTCCGACCAGATGGAACCGGGCGATTGGGTGATGGCCATCGGCAACCCGTTCGGCTACGGCCATACGGTGACCGTGGGGGTAATCTCCGCCGTGGGACGCCCCTACCGGTCCGTGCCCGGCCGCTCGCAGGACGTTCTGCAAACGGACGCGGCCATCAATCCGGGCAACTCCGGCGGGCCGCTGCTCAACATCCGCGGCGAGGTAATCGGGATCAACACCGCGATCGTCAGCGATCGGCCGTCGAACGTCGGCATCGGCTTCGCCATTCCGAGCAATATCGTCCGCGAGCTGCTGACCGAACTGCGGGGCGGCAAGGTCACCCGCGGGCGGATCGGCGTGCAGATCTACGATGTCGAGGACGCGGAGGACGCGGAGGCGCTGGGGCTCTCGTCGGAGATGGGCGCCATCGTCTCTGCCGTGGCCGAGGACGGTCCGGCCGGCCAGGCCGGCATGCGGCCGGGCGACGTGATTATCGAAATACGACGGCGAGCCGGTCGACGACACGCGCGAGCTGCAGAACCGCGTCGTCAACACGCGGCCCGGGACGACGGTGCCGGTCCGCGTGGTGCGGGACGGCGAGGAGTTGACGCTCAACGTCACCATTGAAGAGCTCGACTTCGACGTCGAAGCGCGCGGCCCGGAAGCCGAGTCGCCGGAAGAGCTGAGCGAAGGGTTCGGCATGACGCTGCGTGACCTCACGCCGCAGGCCGCGGCGCGCCTGCGGCTGCCGGACGGCACGACCGGAGCCATCGTGGCCGACCTGCAGCGGCGCGGGGCCGCCGCGGCCGGCGGCGTGCGGGCTGGCGACGTCATCCTGAGCATCAACCGGGTCGAGGTAGGCAGCGCCGCGGCGGCGGTGCGCGAGCTCAACAGCGTCGAATCGGGCCGCGCGGCGTTCCTGCTTATCCAACGCGGCGACGAGCAGGTATTCCTGCAGATCCGCAAGGAGTAGCAGCCGCGGTCGCCCGATCCATGACGCTCCGCGACGTCATCACGAGCCGGATCCGCAGCGCGGGTCCGCTCCCGTTCGCGGCGTTCATGGACCTGGCGCTCTACCATCCGGAGCTCGGCTACTACGCCCGCGCGCGCCGGCGATCCGGCCGCGCGGGCGATTTTTTTACCAGCGTCGACGCCGGCCCGCTGCTCGGCGAGTTGCTGGCGGCGCAGTTCGCCGAGATGTGGCGGCTGGCGGCGCCGGACGGCGGCGAGCCACCGGCGCCGTTCGACCTGGTAGAGGCTGGAGCGGGAAGCGGGCGGCTCGCCCGCGGCGTGCTGGACCACGCGGCCGCGGCCCACGCGGCATTCTACCAGGCCCTCCGCCTGACGCTCGTCGAGCGCAGCCCAACCGCACGCGCGGCGCACAACGCCACCCTCGGGCCGCACGCCGGGCGCCTCGTGCAGTCGGGCGTCGCGCTGCCCGCGCGGGTGGCGGGCATCATCTACGCCAACGAACTGCTCGATGCCCTGCCGGTGCATTCGCTCGTGATGACCGCGGCGGGGCTGCGCGAGGTGTATGTCGACAGCCGTGAAGGCCGCCTCGTGGAATCGCTCGGCCCGGTCTCGCCCGCGGCCCGCGCGCACGTGGAACGTTCGGCATCCGGCTCGAGCCGGGCTGGCGCACCGAGGTGTGCCCGGCGGCCGTCAGTTGGGTGACCGACGCCGCCCGGCGCCTCGAACGGGGGTTCCTGCTGCTGATCGACTACGGGCACGAGGCGCATGAGCTGTACTCCCCCACCCACCGCACGGGACGCTCGCCTGCTACCGGCGGCACCGCGTGGAAGTGGCCGGCGACGGACGCACGGCGACGCCCTGGCTCGAGGAGCCGGGGACGCGCGACATCACCGCCCACGTCGATCTGACAGCCATCAGGACGACCGCCGAGCAGGCCGGCCTGCAGACGCTTGGCACGGTTGACCAGACCTACTTTCTGCTCGGTCTGGCGGCTCAGCACGACACCTTGTCCGGCCCGGTGAGCGGCGCGGCGGAGACGCACGACCACCTGGATCCGATCCGGCGGCGGCTGGCGCTGAAGACGCTGCTCGTGCCGGGTGGACTTGGCAGCACGCACAAGGTATTGATCTTCGGCAAGCAGGTCGGCACGCCGAGCCTGCAGGGCTGTTCCTTCAGCCGGCGCATGACCTGACCCCCATGACCGGTCCCATCGAACGCGAAATCAAGCTCCGCTTCGAGTCGGCCGCCGCGGCGCGCGGCGCGGTGATCGCCACCGGCGCGGCGGCGCGCCGTCCCCGCCAGCTACAGGATGACCGGCTGCTAGACTGGCCCGACGGGCGGCTGCGCGAGCGCGGCTGCACGCTGCGGGTCCGCGACCAGGCGGGAGCGGCGGCGCTGACGTTCAAGGGACCGCCGCAACGCTCCGCGATGAAGGTGCGCGAGGAGCTGGAGACGGTTGTCGGCGATGCGCCACTGCTGATCCGGCTGCTGGAACGGCTCGACCTGCGTGTCTGGTTCCGCTACCAGAAGTACCGCGAGGAGTATGAGCTCCCCGGCGTCGTGCTGACCATCGACGAGACACCGATCGGGACGTTCGTCGAGCTGGAAGGAGACGAGCAGGGCATCGGACCTGGCTGCCGCAATGGGCCGCACACCGCGCGACTACGTCGTGGACTCGTACTACAGCCTGTTCGCCAAGGCGCGCGCCGGGCGGGCGGATGCCGGCGCGGACATGGTGTTCGACGCCCCATCGTGACCGTCCCCGCTGCCGCCCGCGCTCGTCCTGACAGCCGGTCTCGGCACGCGTCTCATGCCGCTGACGGGCGTGCGGGCGAAGCCGGCCGTGCCTGTTGCGGGCACTCCGCTCATCCTGCGCGTGCTGCGCTGGCTGGCCGCGCAGGGGGTTCCGTCCGCCGTGCTGAACCTTCATCACCGGCCGGATACCATCACACGCTGCGTGGGGCACGGCGCCGCCAGCGGTCTTGCCGTGCGTTACTCGTGGGAGCCGACGATCCTCGGCACCGCCGGCGGGCCGCGGCGCGCGCTCCCGCTCCTCGGCGAGCGCTTCTTCGTGGTCAACGGCGATACGCTGACGGACATCGACCTGCGGGTGCTGCTGCGGGCGCACGAAGCGCGGCGCGCACAGGTCACGCTGGCGGTCGCCCCCAATCCCGCGCCCGAGCGCTACGGTGGCGTGGCGGTCGACGACCGCGGTCGGGTGCGCGGCTTCAGTCGGCCGGGACGCCACACCGGCGAGCACTTTCCGGGAGTGCAGATCGTGGAGTCCGCGGTATTCGCCGGCCTGTCCGACGGGGAGCCGGCGGCGTCGATCGGCGGCGTGTACAACGCGCTGATCGCCGAGCGCGTCGGCGCGGTCCGCGCGTACGCCGGCGCCGCGACATTTCACGACATCGGCACGCCGGCGGACTATCTCGCCGCCTCGCTGGCACTGGCCCGGGCCGACGGTCTGGCGGCGCCGACGGCTGGAGAACGCTGCGCCATCGATGGCGGGGCCCGGCTCGTACGCACCGCCGTGTGGGACGACGTGGTGATCGGGGCGGGCTGTCGCCTGACCGACTGCATCGTGGCGGACGGTGTGCGGATTCCGCCCGGCAGCACCTTCGACCGGCAGATCATCACGGCGGCCGGCGGGACGCCGCCGGCAGGCGCGCGGCGCGCCGGCGACCTCTGGCTGTCGCCGCTCGCCTCGGCGCCTCAGCCTCCTGCGGGCCGATGAGCGAGCACGCCCCCGGCTCCCACCTCGACCGGGTCAGCGCGTACCTGGACCGCACCGGTCTGGCAGGACCCGGCGCGTCGCTTGCCGAGCTGCCCGGAGACGCATCCGACCGCCGCTACGTGCGGTTGCGGCTGCCGGACGGATCCTCCCGCATGTTGATGGTCCACAGCGGACCGATCGACAGCCGGACGCTCCCCTTCCGCACCGTGGCGCGCCTCCTGGTGCGTATGCGGGTGCCTGTGCCGACCGTGCTCGGTAGCGCGGACGACCTTGGCATCCTGATGCTCGATGACCTCGGCGACGTCACCGTGCAGACGCTGCTCGACGCCGGCGCGAGTGAGCGGCGCGACGCGGTCTATGCGGAAGCGGTAGACCTCATCGTCCGCATGCAGCACGGCGGCCGGGAGACTGGCGTCGCCCCGCGAGCTGCCCTTCACCTGGCGTTCGACGAAGACAAGCTGATGTGGGAACTGGAGTTCTTCGTCGAGCACTTTCTCGGTAGTCTCCGCCGCGCGCACCCGTCAGCCGCCGTCCGTTCCGCACTGGCCGAGGAACTGCGGACCGTGGCCCGCGAACTCGCCGCCGAGCCGCGGGTCTTCTGCCACCGCGACTACCACAGCCGCAATCTGATGCTGCACCGCGGCCGGGTGCATGTCATCGACTTCCAGGACGCGCGGATGGGACCCGCCACCTACGACCTGGTGTCGCTGCTGCGCGACTGCTACGTGCGGCACGAGCCGCCGTTCGTCAGCCGAATGATCGCGTATTATCATGACCGCCTCGGACGGTGGCCGGCCCCGCGTATCGGGATCGGTTCGATCTGATGTCCGTGCAGCGGCATCTGAAAGCGCTGGGGACGTTCGGCTACCAATCGACGGCCGGCGCAACGAGCGGTACGTGAGCGCCATTCCGCGCACCGCCGGCTATCTGGTGGAGGTATTCGAGCGGCAGGCCCGTTTCGAGCGGCTGCGGACGCTGCTGGCCGGCTGCGCGCCCGATTTCGATTGAGCGGGGATCTCCGTCAGCAACTGGCACCTGTCCCGGCTGGCACGGTCGACATGGCGGACACCACGATCGCGTACATCGGCGGCATCGCCGCGCACGAAGGGCGCGAGGTGACGTTGCGCGGTTGGCTGCACAATCGCCGCTCCAGCGGCCGGATTCACTTCCTGACGGTCGCGACGGCGCGGATTCATTCAGGCGGTCATGTCGAAGGCGGCCGTGGGCGCGGACGTTTTCCGACAGGCGGACCATCTGGGCCAGGAGACCGCCATCCGCATCCGGGGCCTGGTGCGGGCCGACGCGCGCGCGCCGGGCGGTTACGAGATCGACGTCGCGAACCTGGAGCTGGTGGGACCGTCGCAGGACTACCCGATCACCCCGAAGGAGCACGGCGTCGAGTATCTGCTGGACCATCGCCACCTGTGGCTGCGCACCGAGCGGCAGCAGGCGATTCTGCGCGTCCGCCACGAGGTCATCGACTGCATCCGCACCTTCTTCAACGAGCGCGGCTTCGTGCTCGTGGATACGCCGATCCTGACGCCGGCCGCGTGCGAGGGCACCACCACCCTCTTTCCGGTCCCGTACTTCGACACCGCCACCGCCTTCCTGACGCAGAGCGGGCAGCTGTACAACGAAGCAAACGCCATGGCGTTGGGCCGCGTGTGTACTGCTTCGGCCCCACGTTCAGGGCGGAGAAATCGAAGACGCGCCGCCACCTGACGGAGTTCTGGATGGTGGAGCCCGAAATGGCGTATGCCGCGCTCGACGACGTGATAGCGCTGGCCGAGGACTCGTCGCCGCGGTGACCAGCCGGGTGCTGGGCGCCCGGCGCCGCGAACTGGCGGTGCTGGAGCGGGACACCGCTCCCCTGGAACGCATCCGCACGCCGTTTCCGCGGGTGTCGTACGACGAGGCGGTCGAGATCCTCAGGCAGCGCGGCCTGCCGTTCGTACGGGGCGGTGACTTCGGCAGCCCGGACGAGACGGCGCTCGCCGAGCATTTCGACCAGCCGGTCATCGTCCACCGCTTTCCGGCGGCCTCGAAGGCGTTCTACATGAAGGCCGATCCGGAGCGACCGGAGGCATCGCTTTCCGTCGACGTGCTGGCGCCGGAGGGCTACGGCGAGATCATCGGCGGCGGGCAGCGCGAGGACGACTACGACGTGCTGTGCGAGCGCGTGCGGGCGCACGATCTATCCCAGGACACCTTCTCCTGGTACCTCGATCTCCGGCGCTACGGCAGCGTCCCGCACGGCGGCTTCGGCATGGGCGTCGAACGGGTCGTCGCCTGGATGTGCGGGTTGGCACACGTCCGCGAGGCTATCCCGTACCCCCGCATGCTGCACCGGCTGACCCCCTGATTTGCGCCCGGCCGGCGCCTCCGCCTGCCCCGCCTGCCCGCGCCTCGGGTCTGTACCGCGCCCGATGGCGGTCACGTTGCCGCGCCCGGTGGGCCGTGTTACTATTTTCAGCTACGTCGACGGGATGAGCTTCATTGGTGGGCGTTTGCCCACTTTTTGTGTTTCTGGGGCATGGAGGTCCGTGACGAGGCCCCGCGTTTGGCGGGCATGGTCTGTTGACGTGAGTCACGACGCGCTGCAGGCGGAGATCAGGTCGATCGCCGAACGGGTGGCGGAGAGCCACGGACTCGAGCTCTTCGACATCGGCCTGCGGCGCGAGCCGATCGGATGGGTTCTGCGCATCGTCCTGGACAAGTCCGGCGATGCGGCAGATGGTGGAAGTTCCGCGGGAGGAGGAGATCAGCGTCAGAGATTGCGAGCGCGTCAGCCGCGACCTGAGTGCGATCCTGGATGTGGAAGTGACGTTTCCCCACGCATACACCCTTGAGGTGTCGTCGCCCGGACTGGACCGCCCGTGCGGCATCTGGCTGACTGCCAGCGGTTCGTCGGACGCCTGGCGAAGCTCGTCACGACCGAGGCGGTCGACGGACAGCATGCCTGGACCGGCCGCATCGCCGGCGTCAGGGGCGAGGACGTGGTGATCGAAGCGGCGGATCGCAGCCGTCAGATTCCCTGGCCGCTTGTCTCCAGGGCGAAGCTGGAAGTGGAGTTCTGAAAGCACGGCCATGCATAACCCAACACAGCAACAGATCGAGGCGCTGGCCAAGGAGAAAGGGATCGATCCGAACATCGTCATCGAGGCGATCGAGGACGCGGTCCTGGCCGCGTCCCACAAGTACTACAAGTCCGACGAAGACCTGCGCACGAAGATTCAACAGCGAGACGGGAGCAGGTGGAGCTGTTCGCCGTGCGCCAGATCGTGGAGGACGTCAGCGACCCCGCACATCGGAGATCTCGCTGCAGGAGGCCCAGGAGCTGTACGGCGACGCCGCCGAGGTAGACATGGAAATCGAGTTTCCGAAGTCGACCGAGGTGCTCGGGCGCATCGCCGCCCAGACCGCCAAGCAGGTCATTTTCCAGAAGGTCCGCGAGGCCGAGCGGGAGAAACGTCTACGCAGAGTACAGCGACCGCATCGGCGATGTGGTCCCGGGCACCGTCAAGCGGTTCGAGAACGGCGACATCTTCGTGGAATCGGGTCATATAGAGCGCTGCTGCCGCGCCGCGAGCAGTCGCGCGCGGAGAACTACACGACCGGCGACCGAGTCCGCGCCGTGATCGGGAAGTGAACAAGAACGTCAAGGGCCCGCAGTTGATCCTGTCGCGCACCGACCCGGTGCTGCTGATCAAGCTGTTCGAGCAGGAAGTTCCGGAGATCTACGACGGCACGTGTATGATTCGCGGCGCCGTGCGGGAAGCTGGCGATCGGGCCAAGGTTGCCGTCTACTCGCGGGAGCGCGACGTCGATCCGGTCGGCGCCTGTGTCGGCATGAAGGGCACGCGCGTGCAGGCGATCATTCGGGAATTACGGGGCGAGAAGATAGATATCGTCGAGTGGTCCGACGACGCGACCTTGTTCGTCACCAATGCTATCAGTCCAGCCCGTGTCCAGCGCGTCACGGTGGTCGATGAGATGGAGCGGGTGATAGAGGTGATCGTCGAGGACCGTCAGCTCTCATTGGCGATCGGCAAGAAGGGCCAGAACGTGCGGCTGGCGGCCAAGCTCACCGGCTGGAAGATAGACATCAAGAGCGAGGAAGAAAAGCGGCGCGAGGTCGAGGCCCAGTTCGACGGCCTGGCCGCAGGACAATCCGGGACCCTGACGCTGCCGGCACTTGACGAAGATCAGATCCGGAAACTGCACGACGCCGGACTGACCACGGCTGACCAGCTGAGTGCCGCGACTATCGAGAAATTGGCGGCGGTGACAGGCGTCGACGAGGATGCCGCCTGGAGGGTGAAGCAGGCGGTACAGGAACAGATGGAGGCGAGCCAGCGGGCGGCGGACGAGGCCGCGGCGGACGACAACGAGCAGGAGACGGCGGACGACGCGCCAGGTTCGACCGAGCCAGAAGCTGACGGGCCGTCCGGAGACCAGACAACGCGCTGACCGCGCTGACCGCGCGGCGTCATCCAAAAGGACCACGTGGGTACTATCCGGATTTATAAGGTCTCCGAGCTGCTCGGACTTCCCAGCCAGGAAGTGATCGATCTGCTGCGACGCGACCACGGCATCGAGGTGAAGAGCGCGTCGAGCACCGTCGAGGAGATCGTGGCCCGCCAGTTCGCCGAGCGGATCGCCCGCGAGCGGGGAATCCGACTGCCGGCGCGCCAACCGTTCTCCGGATCGGCGGCATCTCGTCTGACCGCGCGACGAGGCCGGCAGGCGCCACAGAAGGCCGAACCGCCGAAGCCGGCCAGGCCGACACTTGGACCACCGCGACTCGTCAAGGCAGCCAAGGCTGCCCGCGTCCAGGCCAGGGCAGAGGCCGAGGCACAAGCCAAGGCGGAGGCCGAAGCGCAGGTCCAGACAGAGGAACAGACCAAGGTAGAGACGGAAGCCAAGGCCGCCGCAGAAGCCACGGCGGCGGCGGCACTGGCGGCGGAAGCTGCCGCGGAAGCCAGGCTCAAGGCAGAGGCGGAAGCCACGGCAGCGACGGCACTGGCGGCGGCGGAAGCCACGGCAGCGGCGGCACTGGCGGCAGAAGCTGCCGCGGAAGCCAGGCTCAAGGCGGAGGCGGAAGCCACGGCGGCCGCGGACCAGGTCGCGGCGCCGCCCGCCGCCGCAGCGACGGCGCAACCTGCAGCCACACCGCCGGCCGCTCCGCCTGTCGCGGCCAAGCCAGCGGCGCCGGCGCCGTGGTCCGCCACGACAATCACCAAACGGACCGGTCGCGTCACACCGCCAACGCTCCGACTGCGCGTCGAAGCACCGAGACCCGTTCCGCCGCCGGCTCCGCCCAGGCAGGCTCCGACTCCCGCAGCCGCGCAGGCCACGGTCGCATCCGGGCCGGCCGGTACGGCAAGAGCGGCCGAACCGGTCGCTCCGGCCGTACCGGCACGGACGCCAACGGCACCCGGACGGCCACCGCTGGGAGGCCCGCGGCCCCTGCCGTCCCAGCCCATTCGCCCGCCGTCGTCCCGGCCGCTAGCGCCGCGGCCCGCCGTCGGCTATCGACCGCCTCCACGGCCCTATACGCCCGGGCGGCCGCCGCGCCGATCGTCGGCCCCGTCAGCAGGCAGCGCCGCGAGCACCCGCGCCGCCGCCGCCGATTACGCGGACGATAACGCTTGCGGAAGGGATGACGGTCAAGGATCTGGCCGAGAAGATCGAGGTCAAGGCGAAGGAAGTCCTCAAGAAGCTGATGGAAAAGCGGATGGTGCTGACCATCAACACCACGCTCGATACCGAGACGGCGACCATGATCGCCCGCGAGTTCGGCGCCGACGTCAAGATGCGCACGTTCGAGGAGGAGATGGTCGTCCTCGAGTCGGAAGTGATCGATCCCGGCGACCTCGTTCCGCGCGCCCCGGTAGTGACGGTATTGGGTCACGTCGACCACGGGAAGACGACGCTGCTCGACGCCATCCGGGAAACGCGGGTTGCCGAACAGGAGGCGGGCGGCATTACGCAGCACATCGGCGCCTACGCGGCCGAGATCGACGGTCGCCGCATTGTGTTCCTCGACACCCCGGGGCATGAAGCGTTCACCATGATGCGCGCGCGGGGCGCCAGCGTGACGGACGTCGTGGTGCTCGTCGTCGCCGCCGACGACGGCGTCATGCCGCAGACGCAGGAAGCGATCGACCACGCGCGGGTGGCGGACGTCCCGATCCTGGTCGCCATCAACAAGATCGACAAGTCGGATGCCAATCCCGAGCGTGTCAAGCAGGAGCTTGCCGAGCGCGAGCTCACGCCCGAGGATTGGGGCGGCCAGACCGTAATGGTGCCGGTCTCCGCGAAGAAGCGGGACAATCTCGACACACTGCTCGAAATGATCCTGCTCGTCACGGAGTTGGGCGAGCACAAGGCCAACCCCAAGCGCATGGCGACCGGCGCGGTGCTGGAAGCGAAGGTCGACCGTGGCCGCGGCCCGGTCGCCACGATCCTCGTGCAGGACGGGACGCTCCACGTCGGCGACAACTTCATCGTCGGCACCCACGTCGGCCGAGTCCGGGCGCTCATCGACGACCGCGGCCAGCCGCTCAAGGAGGCGGAGCCGTCGAGCCCGGTCGAGGTGCTCGGTCTGACCGGTCTCCCGCAGCCGGGCGACGCGCTCCAGGTAGTGGCGGACGCCGCGAAGGCGCGCCAGATCGCGCTCCTGCGCCAGAACCAGGCCAAGGAAAAGGCGCTCGTCAGCCGCGGCACGCGCGTGACACTCGAATCGCTGCAGCAGCAGCTCGCCGAAGGCGAGGCGAAGGAGCTGCCGATCATCATCAAGGCGGACGTGCAGGGCTCGGCAGAGGTGCTGGCGGAGTCGCTCGCCAAGCTGGGGGACGAACGGGTCAAGATTCGGATCATCCACACCGGCGTCGGCGCGATCAGCGAATGGGACGTGCTGCTCGCGTCGACCTCGAACGCCATCATCATCGGCTTCAACGTACGGCCGGACCGCAACGCCGCCGGCGTGGCGGAGCGCGAAGGGGTCGACATCCGCAAGCATTCGGTCATTTACAACGTGACCGACGAGCTCAAGAAAGCGATGACCGGGCTGCTGGAGCCGACCACGCGGGAGCGCCAGCTCGGGCTGGCCGAGGTGCGCGAGGTGTTCAAGGTGCCCAAGATCGGTCTGGCGGCCGGCTGTATCGTAACCGACGGCAGCATCACCCGCGCCGGCGACGCGCAGGCCCGCCTCGTCCGCGACGGCGTCATCGTGCACGAGGGACGCATCGGGTCCCTCAGGCGCTTCAAGGACGACGTCAACGAGGTGAAGACCGGGATCGAATGCGGCATCACGTTCGAAAGGTTCTCGGACATCAAGACGGGCGATGTCATCGAGGCATTCACGGTCGAGAAGGTGGCAACCGTCTAGCTGCCGGCAGCCTCCTGTGACTGCCGTCGCGCTGCTCTCCATTGAAATTCATGTCCCCGAATCGCGCTCGCTGAAGGACAAGCGGGCTGTGGTACGCAGCGTGAAGGACCGTCTGCGCCGGTTGAACGTCTCGGTAGCGGAGGTCGACCACCAGGCTCTCCGACAGCGCTGCCGCCTCGCGATTGCAGCCGCCGGCGGAACACGTGTGGACGTGGAACGGCGGCTCGGCACGGCGCTGGACGAGATTGAGCGGCACGATCCCGGTCTGATCATCGACACGCAAATCGAATGGCTCGCCTAGCACCCCTGCGAACCGGCAATCCGCTGCGGCCCGACGCCGGCCACATCCGGCCGCAGCGCGTCGGAGACGCAATCAGGGCCGAGCTCGCCACGCTGTTGCAGCGTCAGGTGCGGGATCCGGCCGTTCGGCAGGTGGCGGTCACACGCGTGCGGATGTCGCGGGATCTGGAGCTCGCGCAGGTCTACTACACGCTGCTGCCGGGCGACGTCGACCTCCGCGGCGCGGCGCGCGGACTGCGGCGCGCGCAGCCGTTCCTCAGGCGGCAGCTCGGCAGGATCGGGCTGCGGCGCGTACCCGAGCTGAGATTCCTGCACGACGATGCCGTCGAAGAGCAGGATCGCGTTGCCCGCCTGCTTGACGAAATTGCGGCAACGCCGCCCTCCGACGCCGATGACCCTCCCGGCGAAGATGCCTGACGGCCCGCTGCGGGAAGTGCTCGACGCCCTGCGGTCACGACGACGCTTTGTCGTCGCGTCCCACGCCAGGCCCGACGGGGACGCCGTCGGCTCGCAGCTGGCGCTGACCCACGCGCTGCGGCAGCTCGGCAAGGCAGCGCTGGCCGTCAGCCGCGATCCTCTGCCGCCGTACTGCCAGTCGTTGCCCGGCGCGTCGGAAGTGTCCATCACCAGCCACGTTGACGGTGAATTCGATGCGGCGGTGGTGCTCGAGTGCGGATCGCTCGCGCGCACGGAACTCGCCGGACTCGATCGCTATCTCGTGATCAACGTCGACCACCACATGGGCAATACCAACTATGGAGCCGTCAACTGGTTCGACGAGACGGCCGCCGCCTGCGGGGAAATGGTGTTCGACATCGTGCAGGGACTGGGCGTCCCACTGACCGACCGAGATTGCGAGCTCTCTGTACGTCGCCATCCTGACCGATACCGGATCGTTTCAGCACGGCAATGTCACGCCCCGGACATTCGACATCTGCCGCCGCATCGCCGCGGCGGGCGTCTCACCGACTGCCGTTGCGGCGCGCGTCTACCAGCAGGGCTCCGTGGGCAAATTACGGCTCACCGGCGCCCTGCTGTCCGGCATGGAGCTCCAGGGCGACGGACGCGTCGCCGTCCTGCAGGTCGACGACCGGATGCTGCGTGAGAGCGGCTGCACAGCCGACGATCTGGAGGGGTTGATCAACCTGCCGCTGGCCGCGGCCGACGTGCAGGCAGTGCTGCTGTTCAAGGACTTCGAGGGCCAGCTGCGGGTCAGCGTCCGCTCCAAGAGGTCGATCGACGTGCGTGCGGTGGCGGTCGCCTACGGTGGGGGCGGGCATCGCAATGCGTCCGGTTTCTCGGTGCAGCGCCCGCTTGACGCCGCCCGGCGGCGGGTCGTGGCGGATGTAACTGCGGCGGTCGATGCCGGCAGTCCCTGACGTCCCGTCGCCGCCGGCAGACGGCGTGCTGGTGGTTGACAAGCCGGCGGGCATCACCTCGCACGATGTGGTCGTCTGGGCGCGGCGGCTGCTCGGCGTGCGGCGGATTGGCCATACCGGCACGCTGGACCCGCTGGCAACCGGGGTCCTGCCGCTCGTGGTCGGCCGTGCCACGCGCCTGGCCGTCCTCCTGTCCGGCGGATTGAAAACCTACAAGGCGGTCATCAGGCTGGGGGTGGTGACCGATACCTACGACGCAGCCGGAACGCCACTGCCCGCGCCGCCCGGTGCGGAAGCCCGCGCACGCAGCCTGGATCGCGACACGGCCGCGGCCGCCTGCCGGCGGTTCACGGGTGTCTTCCGGCAGCAGCCGCCGGGCCTTCTCCGCCAAGAAAGTGGGCGGCGTGCGAGCCTACCGGTTGGCGCGGCGCCAGCGGGAGGTAGACCTGAGTCCCGTGGAGGTGACGGTCCACGACTTCGAGATCACTGCGCTCGCCGACGCCTGCCTGCACTGCCGGGTCTCCTGCTCGCCCGGGTTCTACATGCGGACGCTGGCGCACGATCTGGGCCAGGACCCTGGGCTGCGGCGGCTGTCTCGAGCAACTGCGGCGCGAGCAGAGCGGGGCGTTCACCCTGGACGACGCCAGTCAATCTCGAGGCCGGTGCGGGTGCTCCGCTAGCGCTTCAGGAACGGCTGATCGCACTTGACGCGCTGCTGCCGGAGCTGCCCGCGGTCGTCGTCACCCCGCACGGCGCGCAACGCGCCAGCCACGGCAACCTGCTGAGGCCGGCCGATATCGCGGCGGGAGCGGGACATCCGGCGTATACCGGCGCCGACAATGTGAGGGTCTGCGACGACGCCGGATCGTTGCTGGCGATCGCGGTACCGGCGACCGGCGGCGCTTTGCATCCCCGGATCGTCTTGGTGTAAGATTCCGGCTGGATAATCGTAGGAGACAGAATAGTTTAACGCGGGAACGGCGGTCTGGTACGCTCGTGAACCGATGGTTCACGAGGGCGGTTTCTGGGCCGTACGCGGAGGCGGACGGACGTGGTGTTGCCCAAGGATCGGAAACTGGAGCTTATTGGCTCGTACCGTACACACGAAGCCGATACTGGATCACCGGAAGTGCAGGTTGCGATACTCAGCGAGCGCATCAGCGACCTGACGGAACATTTCAAGATCCACGCCAAAGATCACCACTCGCGCCGCGGGCTCCTGAAGCTTGTCGGACAGCGTCGGCGCCTCCTGAACTACCTCAAGGGCAAGGACTCCGATCGATACACCGATCTGATCAGGCGGCTCGGTCTCCGCAAGTAATCCCGCGGGACCGGATCCGCCTCGCCAACCCACCAGTCTCCTCCCACAGTTGCACAGCGAGGGAGCTGAATTCATGCAGACAGGCCAACTGAACGTCGGCCGGACCGAACTGAAGATCGAAACGGGCAAGCTGGCGAAGCAGGCAGACGGCTCCGTGGTCGTGCGCTACGGAGAGACGGTTGTGCTCGTGACCGCCTGCTGCGCACCGACCGGGCGCGAGGGTATCGACTTCCTGCCGCTCACCGTCGACTATCGAGAGAACACCTACGCGTCAGGACGCATTCCGGGCGGGTTCTTCAAGCGCGAAGGCAAACCGACCGAGAAGGAAGTACTCACCAGCCGGCTCATCGATCGGCCGATCCGTCCGCTGTTTCCGGGCAGCTGGAACCGGGAAACCCAGGTCGTCGCGCTGGTGCTGTCGGCGGATGCGGACAACGACTCCGATGTGCTGGCGCTCACTGGCGCATCCGCCGCGCTGGCCATCTCCAGGATCCCCTTCCAGAAGACGATTGCGGCAGTGCGGGTGGGCCAGGTCGACGGCGAACTGCTGATCAACCCGACGTACTCCGAGCGCGCGCGGAGCCGGCTGGACCTGGTGATTGCCGGCAGCCTCGACGCGATCGTGATGGTGGAAGCCGGTGCGAAGGAGGTCTCGGAAGACGAGATGCTCGAGGCGCTCGCGGCCGGCCACGACGCGATCAAGCAGATCATCGGCACGATCGACGAACTGGCCGCCGCCGTGGCGGACCCGAAAATAGCGGTTGAGGCGGCGCCGGTCGACGAGGAGCTTAGCCAGGCAACGAAGCCGCTGTGCTGGGGCCGCTGGCCGACGCAATGCGGATTCGGGGCAAGCTCGAGAACTACGCGCGCGTGGACCAGGTGGTGGACGCCTACATCGCCACGATTCCCGACACCGAACCCGACCGCCGCGGCGCGGCGAAGCGGATCATCAAGGACCTGAAGGAAAAGGTGCTGCGCGACGAAGTGCTGGAGCGCGGCCAGCGGCTCGACGGGCGCCGCTTCGACGAAATTCGGGAGATCTGGTCGGAGGTCGGCATGCTGCCGCGGGTGCACGGGTCCGCGGTGTTTACGCGCGGCGAAACGCAGGCGCTCGTGACCGCCACGCTCGGCACGGCGGACGACCAGCAGAAGATCGAGCATGTCAACGGCGAGACGTACAAGCGCTTCCTGCTGCACTACAACTTCCCCCCCTTCTCCGTGGGTGAAGTGAAGTTCCTCCGCGGACCGGGGCGCCGCGAGATCGGCCACGGCAATCTCGCCGAGCGCAGCCTGAGCCCGATGGTCCCGGGCGAGGACTCATTCCCCTATACGCTACGCGTTGTCTCCGACATCCTCGAATCGAACGGATCGTCGTCGATGGCCACGGTCTGCGGGGCGACTCTGGCGCTGATGGATGCCGGCGTGCCGCTCAAGGCGCCGGTGGCCGGCGTGGCGATGGGACTCATCATGGAGGAAGGCGGCAGCCGCTACGCCGTCCTGTCCGACATCGCCGGCGCCGAGGACCACTACGGGGACATGGACTTCAAGGTGGCCGGCTCGGCGAACGGCATTACCGCCCTGCAAATGGACATCAAGATGGCCGGCGTGCCCACGGCGGTCATGCGCGAGGCGCTCGCGCAGGCGCGGACGGGCCGTCTGGCGATTCTGGAAAAGATGCAGGCGACCATTGCAGCTCCGCGCGATTCCATTTCGACCCACGCACCGCGGATCGTGACGATCACCATCCCCGTCGACAAGATCCGCGACATCATCGGACCCGGCGGCAAGACGATTCGCAGCATTGTGGACCGGACCGGCGTGAAGATCGACGTCGAGGACGACGGGCGCGTCAACATCGCCTCGACGGACAGCGACGCGGCCCAGAAGGCCATCACCATCATCGAGGAGTTGACGGCCAGCCCCGAGCTGAACAAGACGTACCTTGGGAAGGTCCAGCGGATCACCGACTTCGGTGCGTTCGTGGAGATCCTGCCCGGCATCGACGGACTGCTGCACGTCTCAGAGATTGCGCACTACCGCGTCAGCGCGGTGACCGACGAGTTGCAGGAAGGCGATCAGGTGCTCGTCAAGGTCATCAACGTCGACCCGTCCGGCAAGGTGCGGCTGAGCCGCAAGGCGCTGCTGCCGGTGCCGGACGATGCGCAGCGGCCGAGTCGTGACGACCAGAAGCCCGGCGTGGACGGCAGGAGCGGGACCGGACCCGGCGGCGGGCGGCCGCAGACACCGTCCGCACGCGCGCAACCGGTCCAATCGCGAGCACGTGAAGCGCTAGCGCTTCAGCGGGTCCCGGCGTCGGCAAATTCGCGCGCGGTCCCCAACCGCGCGGACAACGGCGGGTGGGAGTGGAACAGCCACTCGACGACCGCTGACGGCCGCTCCTCTGCCAGCGTCTGCTCCGCCAACCGGCGCAGGCCGGAGGCCAGGGCGCCCGGGTTGCCCGTCATTTCGACAGCGAAACGGTCGGCCCGCCGTTCGCACCTGCGCGAAATCAGGTTGGTTACGGGCCGCAGCAGCAGCAGAACGCCGCCAGCGGCCAGCACGGCCACCGGCAGCCCCGCAATGTCTGCCGCGCCGGACAGCCCCAGCGGTGCTGCCACGCGCGGCAGCACCCACCAGGCCGCGCCACAGGCCAGGGTTACCGCGGCCGTTTCGCAGGCAATGGTCTTCCAGAGATCCAGGTGCGCGCAGTGCGCCAGCTCGTGTGCCAGGACGACCTCGATCTCGTCGTCGCTATAGTCGGCGAGCAGCGCGTCGGTAAGCAGCACGCGCCGCGCCGGACCGAGGCCGACCAGGACGGCGTTAGGCTGCGGGGCAGCCGCGTCCGTCCGCCATTCGTGGATATCCATGTGGGACATGCCGGCTCGGCGGATCAGGGATTCCAGGCGCCGGCGAAGCGGAGACGGCGGCAGGGGCCGCAGATGGCGTCGGCGCGACAGCGTGAGCGTGGGTGCAAGGCGGGCGAGCGCAAGCGTCAGACTGGCGAACGCCAGGCTCACCGCCAGCCACCACCAGCCGGGCCACCAGCGTATGGCGGCGTACAGGAGCATTACCCCCGCCGTCCAGACCAGCAGATTCAGCAGCGTGGCCTGTGCGAACTCCCCCAACCAGCCGGCCAGACGCTGGCGCGACCGGCCGAAGCGCCGCTCCACGACGTACTCTCCGTACCACTTCCAGGGCGCAACGGCCGTCGCGCCGGCAAGGGCCAGGACGAACGCGTAGCCGGCGGCCACAAACAGAAAATGAACCGGCTCGGGCGCCGGAACGCGCTCTGCCAGGACGGCTGATGCATTCGCAACGGCGCGCGACGCCCCGCTGCCAGCCAGTCCCACCAGCAGGGCGGCCCACGTAACCGCGGCGAGCAACGCGGCACGCCGCCGGAGTCGCCGATAGCGCGTCGCCTTGCCTTCGTTCACGACGAGAGGCGGGAACCGCCCGGTCCGCTCAGTTGAGCCAGACCGAAACCAGCTTCGATACCCCGGGCTCTTCCATGGTGACCCCGTAGAGACGGTCGGCAATTTCCATCGTCTTCCGGTTGTGGGTCACCAGTACGAATTGCGTCTCGTCCTGCATGCCCCGCAGCACCTCGACGAAACGGCCGATGTTGGCGTCGTCGAGCGGCGCGTCGATCTCGTCGAGCAAACAGAAAGGACTCGGCTTGTACTTGAAGACCGCGAACATCAGCGCCATGGCCGCCAGCGCCTTCTCGCCGCCCGACAGCAACTGCACGCTCTGGAGCCGCTTGCCGGGCGGTTGGGCGATGATGTCGATGCCACTCTCCAGCAGATCGGCCTCGTCCAACAGTACGAGGCTGGCGCTGCCGCCGCCGAACAACGTGGAGAACGTCTGCTGCAGGTTCGCGTTGATGGCCTCGAACGCCTGCTTGAACCGATCCCGGGTCGCCGTGTTGATCCGCTCAATCGCCTTCCCGGTCGACGCGATGGAGTCGAGCAGGTCCGCGCGCTGCGTCGTCAGGAATTCGTGGCGCTGCTCAAGCTCGTCGAACTGCTCGATCGCCATCATGTTGACCGGGCCGAGGCGCTCGATGCGGGTGCGCAGCCGGGCGACGACGTCAGCGGCGGACGGCAGGCGCGAAGCGCCGCCGGATGCCGCGTCTGCGGGTGCGGCCGCCGCGTCGGTGGACGGTGGCTCTACCGGCTCCGCGGCATGGTCGTCCGCGGACGCCAGCCGCCGGGCGTCGAGCGCGATCACACCGTCCCGTTCGAGCTGCTCCACCTCGGCGCGGACCTCGTCCAGGCTGAGCTGGAATTCCTCGCGGCACGATTCAGCCAGACTGTCGCGATCGGCCTCGGCGCGCGCCTTGTCGACTTCAAGGCCGCCGACCTCCGCGCGGCAGGTCTCGAGCACATCCCGCGCGGCCTGCACCTGCTGTCCCTGCTCGGTGATGCGGTCGCGCAGCTCGGCCGCCCGGGCGTCGAGGTCGCGGACGTCAGAACGCCGCGCATCGAGCTTTCGCACCTCATCGTCGACACGTGCTCCGGCGCCCGCGATGGACTCCTTCAGCGCTTTCCGCTGGTCGATGGCGTCCTGACGGCCAGCCGCGCTGGCCTGCACGCGCCGATCGAGATCGGCGGCCGCCGCCTCAATCCTCCCGACGTCCGCCTCCAGACCAGCCGCCCGTTCCACCAGCTCCGCGTGGGCAACCTTGACCTCGCTGGCCCGTGCGCCCAACGTCTGGACCGTGGCCCGCGCGTCCACCAATTGTTGCCGGGCGCCCCGATGCCGTGCCTCGGCTGCCTGCCGCTCGGCCTCCCGCCGGGCGATGGACTGCTGCGCCTCGTCCCGCTTTGCCGTCTGCTCCTCGCGCTCTTCCCGGGCCCGGCGATCCTCGGTCCGAATCAGTTCACGCCGCCTCGTCAAACGCGCGTTCTCATCGTCCCAGCGCGCAAGTCGGAGCTCCGCTTCAAGCAACTCCTTTTCACGCGTGTGCTCGTTCCCTTGCAGCGCCTTCAACTCGGCCGCCGCGCGCGCGGCGGCGGCTTCGAGCGTCTCCTCATCGTCGGCGAGGCGCTGCACCGCAGCCTGCTCGGAAGCCTGGCGTACGTGAAGCTCCTTGATCTCGCCACGGAGGCGCAGGATTCCACCTTCCTCTGACCTGCCGCCGCCGCGCACCAACGCAACACCGTGAAATACGGCCCCGTCCGGCGTCACAATCGTGTCGCCGGCGGTGCGGGCCGCCGCCGACGCCGCTTCGAAGGACGGCGCGAGCCAGCGCCGCGCAAGCAGCCCGCGGACCGCGGCGGCGGCGGGACCATTCACGCGCACGAGATCCGTGAACGGGATCAGCGCGGCGTCCGGCGGGGCGCCTCGCGGCGTGTCGGCTGCGGCCGCCTCGGCGATGAGGAAGTCGCAGCGGCCGGCGCCGTGCGCTGCAATGAACGCCATCGCCGCGCGTGCGTCCCGCTCATGCCGGACCACCAGCGCATGGAGAAGGTCGTCCAACCCCGCCTCGACAACCAACTCGTGCTTGCGGTCCACTTCCAGGTGGTCCGCAACAGCACCGAGATGCTGCAGGTCGCCGTCCGGCGCGGTCAGCACAAGCCGCGCTGCGTCGCCGTACCCTTCGCGCGACGCGATCAGCGCGTCGAGCGAGGCTATCCGGGCCGAAACGTTTGCCAACTCCTGTTCGCGGGCGCGCGTATCCGCCAACAGGGCCTGGCGTGCATCGTTGGCCGCGGCCAGCCGGGCCTCGCGGTCCACCCGCTCGTCGCGGACCTTGTCGAGCACGGCGCGCACGCGCGCAACAACCGCCGCGTTCTCCTTGCGCCCCGCGGCAAGTTTCGCCGATTCGATCTCCAGGTCGGCGGCCTCCGTAGCGAGGCGGACGATCTCGGCATCGATGCGGTCACACGCCTCGGTGGCGTTCTGCACCACATTCTGCAGCACCGCCGCCGCACTCACGGCTGCAAATTCGGCGCTGCGCACCGCTTCGACGTCAACCTCGATACCTTCGACCGCCGCCTGCGCTTCCTCGTGCGCCGCCTCGGCGGCCCGCACGTCTTCGGCGGAGGACTCCCGATCACTGGCGCAGCGCCGGGCTGCCTCGACCTGCGAGGAAAGCTCCTCCTGCAATGGCGACCGCCTCGCCTCGAGCGACGCGCCATCTGCTTCGAGCGCGGCGGCTGTTGAGGTCAGCGTCGCAACCTGCTGCGTCTCATACTCGATCTGCTGCTGGAGGCGCCCGGCCGCCAGCTCGTGGGCATGCGCCGCCGCGCGGGCGGCGGTGGCAGCCCGATCGGCCTCGGCGAGCGCAAGCCGGTGCCGCTCGTGCGCCGTCTCCAGCTCAGCCACGCGGGCCGCTGCGCCCTGCTCGCGGACGCGGGCATCTGCCAGACGCTGCTCGGCAGCCTCGATGGTCAGCGCCAGCGCGGCGCTGGCGCGGGCGAGCTGCACCTTCTCCCAGCGGCGCAAATCCTCACGCAAGACCCGGTACCGCCGCGCCTTTGCCGCCTGACGCTTGAGCGCGTTCCGCTGGTTGTCGATCTCGAAGATGATGTCGTCGACGCGGGTCAGGTTCTGTCTTGCCGCCTCGATCTTCAGCTCGGCGGCCCGGCGGCGGCTCTTGTATTTCGTTACGCCTGCCGCTTCTTCGAGCAGCTGGCGCCGTTCCAAAGGACGTGCGCTCAGGATGTGACCGATCTTGCCCTGCTCGACGATCGCGTACGCCTTGACCCCCACCCCGGAGTCCATCAGCAGGTCCTGGATGTCGCGCAACCGGCAGACCCGGCCGTCGATCAGGTACTCGCTCTCGCCAGACCGGAACAATCGCCGGCCGACCTCGATATCTCGAACGAGGTCCAGTCCGTCGTCCAGGGAAGCCGGCGACCTCACTCGATTCACCGGCGGGCGCGCCGTTCCCGTTGAGCATGGTCGCGGCAGCCGCAACGTTGGAGAAACGCAGTCGGACCTCGGCCGTTGCGGTCGGCCGGCGGCCGTCGCTGCCGCCGAAGATGACATCCTCCATCCGCTCGCCGCGCAGGCTCCGCACGCTCTGCTCACCCAGCACCCACGTGATGGCATCTATGAGGTTGCTCTTGCCGCATCCATTCGGACCGACGATGGCGGTCACCCCGGCGTCGAATGCGATCTCCGCCTGTTCCGGAAAGCTCTTGAAGCCGGAGATTCGCAGTTGGTTCAAGCGCATCGGCTGGTGCCTGGTACCCTACCGCGTACACAAAAAGACCGCTCGGACAGGTGTACCCCACGGTGCGCCTGTCGAGCGGCTGGGAACGCTCTCACGCGACGTTTCGGTCTGCGCAATGGCGACTCGACGCGCCGCCGGCAACTGCCCGCGCGGCGCCCGGATATGTCGCTACGAAACCGAGTGTAGCAGGGTGGTTGAGGCGACCGCAAGCAGTGCGGGTGGGTCCTAGCGGCGCGCAACGACCGGCGGCCGGCGGGTACTATCGAGCAGCCGGGCAGCCTCTGCGAAGAGCGACCCGGCGAGTCGGGTCTGCGGGTCGGCGCCGAACAGGTTGCGCCCGCGCCTCCTCGACGCTGAACAGCGCCTCGTCAATCGCATAGCGCATCATCGCCCGGATGAAATCGAGATCAGCGGCGAAGGCGGCGTCGTCGACCGTCAACCCACGGCCGCGGACGTGCTCCTTGAATTCTTCGAGCAGCGCGTCGTCGATAGCGAAACCGCGCGCCACCAGCCTGCGCCCCCGGCTCACGCCGGCGATGCGCCGGTCGCCTTCCGCCGAGAACCTCTCCGCAAAGCTGGCGAACTCCTGGCGGGCCGCCAGCAGACGCCCGAGGCGAGACGGGTCGAAACCCTCGATCGGCCCGGCGATACGGTTGTCGGGCTCGATGCCGCCGCCGCTGTACACCTCACGTCCGCCGGTGGTGTACTTCCGGTCCGCTGGAGAATGCGCGCGGGGACTCTGCTCGCGCATCGAGTAGGTCAGATACTCGTCGAACGTGCCGTCCCAAGGCCGCTGAATCATGCGGCCGCTCGGCGTGTAGTAGCGCGCCGTCGTGAGCGCGAGACCGGCGCCGTGGCTCACGCGGTAGATCGACTGCACGAGCGCCTTGCCGAAGGTGGTCTCGCCAACGATCAGGCCACGATCGTGGTCCTGGATGGCGCCCGCCACGATCTCGGACGCGCTCGCGCTGTTGCGATTGACGATGACGACCAGCGGAATGTCCGTGAACTCGCCGTCCGCCGTCGCGTGGTAGTCCTGGTCGGAGTTCTCGACCCGGCCGCGCGTATACACGATCAAGTCGGCGCGCGTCAGGAACTGGTTGGAAACCTTGATGGCCTGATCGAGCGGACCGCCCGGATTGTTGCGCAATCGAGGATCAGGCGCTGCATCCCGCGTCCCGCAGCCGCTGCAGCGCGCGACCGAGGTCGCGGTCCGTCGTCTCGGAGAAGTCGCCGAGCTTGACGTACCCGGTGCCGCCGTCCACCACGAACGCCGCCTGGATGGTGGCGATCGTTATCTCGTCCCGCTCCACCGTCAGGTCGATCAGCTCGTCGTACCCCGTGCGCCGGATCGAGATTTCGACGGCCGTGCCCTTGGGCCCGCGCAGCAGCCGCACCGCATCGTCGCTGGTCATGTCCTTGGCGTTCTGGCCCGTGATGCGAGCGATGACGTCGCCTCGCCGGAGCCCGCTGCGGTACGCCGGGGAGCCCTCGAAGATGCTCATCACGGTTATGTCGCCGTCGATCACGTTGATCGAGATGCCCAGGCCGTAGTACCGGCCTTCCTGGCGCTCGCGCAGCCGTGCGTACGAGTCCGGATCCATGAAGCTGGAGTGCGGATCGAGGGTCTGGAGCATGCCCCCGATGGCCTGATAGATCAGGCGCTCGGTGTCGACTTGATCGACGTAGTGCGTCTCGACGAGGGCAAGCGCCGTGGCGAACCGGCCGTAGTGCTGCGGCAGATCCGCCTGGGTCGCCAGCACCCGCCGCCGAACAGACCGCCGAGCAGCGCCGACAGCACGACGGCGGCGGTTCCAATGGCGAGGGGCGACACGGCACGCATCATGATCGGATGCTATCAGACAAGCTACTGTCTCGCAATGACTTCGCCGGGCCGCGCACAGCGCAGCCCCAAGCCGCGAAACCCCTCCGACGGTGGATTACGGAGGGGGACGGCGACATGGAGGCGTCCGTCCCCAGGCCGCGCACGGCGCGGCCCGCCGGCCACGGAGTGGGGCGAAGGGGTCCCCGCGAGTGGCCGGCGGGGGTTTGGGGCGCAGCCCCATCTGGAGAATGGGCGCAGCCCCATCTACAATTTGACCGTTCCGGTGCCTATTCCTCTATAATTTTTCATGCGGCGCACGCCAGCCAACGCAAGGAGCAGCATCTGATGTTCGGCTCGATTGGCATGCCGGAACTGATCATCATCTTCATCATCGCGTTGGTCATCTTCGGCCCGCGCAAGTTGCCGGAGCTTGGCCGCTCTCTGGGCCGTAGCCTGACCGAGTTCAAGCGCGCGTCGAACGACCTGCGGAGCACGCTCGAGGAGGAGATCCGGGTCGAGGACACGCCCGTTGCCAAACCGCCGAAGCCGAAGGCTGCCGATCCGGCACAGGTGCCGGGTAACACCGGCACCGGCGCGTAGCCGGCCCGTCTCGACCCTGCCGTCGCGCTTCAGGAACCGCGGCGGCAGATCGGCGGGTAGCACCCGTCTCGCTCCAGACTGTTTCAACATGTCGCAGGTCCCGTCTCCGATCCCTCTGCCGGACGACGCCGCCGATGGGCAAGATGCCGACGGCGGCAAGATGTCGTTCCTGGAACACCTGGACGAACTGCGCACGCGCCTGTTGGTCTCGGTCGCGGCGCTCTTCGTCGGCTTTCTCGGGGCATTCGCCTTCATCTCGCCGATCTTCGAGTTCATCATGCGGCCGCTGCAGGAAATCCTGCCGAACGACGGCCGCCTGGTGTACACGGAGCCGACCGAAGCGTTCTTCCTGTACATCAAGATCGCCGCGTTGGCCGGCCTGGTGCTGGCCGTCCCGATCATCCTTTACCAACTGTGGCGCTTCGTCGCGCCGGGGCTGTACGCCCGCGAGAAGCGGTTCGCCATTCCGTTCGTCATGCTCGCCACGTTCTTCTTCGTGGGTGGCGCCCTGTTTTCGCACTACCTGCTGTTTCCGTGGGCCTGGAGCTTCTTTGCCGGGTTCACGACGGACTACATGCAGTTCTTTCCACGCATCCAGCCGGCCTTTTCGCTGTATGTCAAGCTGCTGCTGGCCTGCGGCGTGGTGTTTCAGATGCCGACGGTGGTGTTCTTTCTTGCCAGGGTCGGCGCGGGATCACGCCCCGCTTCCTCGTGCGGAACACGAAGTACGCGGTGCTGCTCATCTTCATTTTCGCGGCCGTGCTCACGCCGACCGGCGATCCGGTGACGCTGACGATGATGGCGGCGCCGATGATTCTGCTCTACGGCCTGAGCATCGTGATCGCCTGGGTCTTCCGGCGGCGCGAAACAAACTAATATGGCGTAGTTGAGTGGTGGTGGAGTGGTAGTTGAGCGGAGGGTCACCGACTTGAAGAGATTTCTTATTTCGGCAGCAGTTATTGCTGGCGCTATTGCGACCATGGCCGGCACCGCTTCGGCGCAGGACAACGGCGAGACCAGGCCTGCCGGCGCGACGTTTCTGGGGGACACCGGCTTCTGGTTCGTACCGACCGCGGAAGTGGTCGAAAGCGGCGGGCTCGTCGTCAGCGCGCAGAGCGTCGTGCTCAACCGCGAGCAGGGATTCAGCAACATCCGGCATGGCGCAATCACTACCGCCGTGGGCATCGGCGGCCGGGTCGAAGTATTCGGATCGGTGCGGCTGCTGACCCGGATCGATCGCGATGTCAGGCCGTTGTTCACAGCGGGAGGACGCCAACGGGGTGGCGCGCTACGGCGGCCTCCTCAATGACTACCCGCTCGTCACCAACGCCTTCAGCGGGAACCAGATGGGCGACGTCATCGCCGGCGTCAAGATCAACCTGCTGTCCGAGGAACGTCTGGATCCGGTCGCATTCGCTATCCGCGCCTTCGCCAAACTGCCGACTGGAGACACCGCCGCGGGGACATCCACTGGCGAAACCGATGGCGAGATCGACCTGGTGATCAGCAAGGTCGCAGGCAACGTCGAGCTCAGCGGCTTCGCCGGCTTTGCGCTGCACGGCGATCCCGATGTGGTTGAAATCAGCAACAGCATGCGGTGGGGTATTGGTGCGGGCGCTCCCGTCCGAGGCCCGCTCAGCTGTTCGGGGAGTTGAACGGCGAGTTGTATCCGACGGACGACCGGGTCATTCAG